CATTTTCCACAGTTTAAAACAGCTGCTAAAAATACATATTCTGATGCCTCACTAATGTAATTAGTGAGACACAGTGCATTAGTGAAACAGAGCAAAGGTCCCCTTAAATATTGACAAGTCTTCCAGAAAAAAATGTGCTACTTGAAATGTCTGAACTGATGGTAACTTAAAAGAAAAACTATAACATTTTTCTATATTATATCAATCAACAAATGTTAACTGAGCACATAATACATGTTAAAACACTGTGCAAACACAATGAAGACTGATAATAAACATTGCCCTTAATCCATACCCCTAAAAAGGGAAAAGACCCTTTAATCCTTAAGTAACTCTCATAAAATACAAGTTTGAATTATAACATAAATGTATACCAATAAGTACCCAAAACAAAATCTATACCCAGTAATGTATTTTTAAAAAAAGTTTTAAATAGTAATTGTAAGATTGAATATCAAAGCAGAAGCACAAGCGATGCCAGTTCAATATTCTCCAGGTAAAGAAAACCTAATTACAGTAAAAAAGGAATTCTGGTTACAAGGACTTGTTAAAGGAAGGTGAGATGGAGGGAAAATTCACTGCAGCTGTGAACAAACAGCCCTCTGGACATTATTCTCTGAGTCTGTGTTCCCCAAGCAATTTTTTATTTCCAATTCCAAAACCTAGGTAGAGAACTTGGAGAATAGTATCCTTCAAGACAGTAGATTTACAATCTATGTGGCACTCCTAGGATAAATCAATGAGCTAGCACTCTGTTCTATACTGTCCCCTTATGCTGCATTGTTAACATGGGCCAGTCAGTCACCTTAGTCACAGTAACTCCGGGACACAAAAACCCAAGATGCCAGATGTGAGAACAGGACTTTGAAACATGGTATCTTCACCAATACATAGATTTTCTCCTATATGTTCTTTTCTACTTTTTTTAACCCATTTTGAAATCCTAAGGAAATATCCAAAATAATTTAAGATAATATGAGATGGCACCATAAGGACAATAATGACCTAAGCCGAATAACTAATTAGAATGAAGAATTATCATTTACAGCCGATATAACCAAGAAAGTTTCAGTGTGGGAACAAGGTTAACATCAAGAAGAAAAACATGAAGACATCACAGAAACAGTGAACAACTGGATCAAGGACAAAGAAATGAAAATGAATAAGGGAGCTTAAGAAAATATGAATTATTTGATAACATTATATAGAAAATTCTGTAGGACAGCAGTCAGAAAGTCAAGGTATTATGGCTTATACATTGTGTCAACCTGAGGAGACTAGAAGCTTAACTAAGGGATTCAGCAGCTCTACCTCCTGGGGTAGAGTGGACAAGCCTTTGCCAGTCTAGGATATTGTTCACTGCATCAACTTGAGATGGCCAGAAGTTTAAATAAGTGATTCAGCAGGGGGCCAGGGTCCTTAGTTTGTAACATTCTCAGCCTGTGTAAGAAGAGGGCACATAGATGGCATAAATGCTACACCTACCCCAGGGGAGCAGGCTGCATGCAGTAAAAGGCAAATGAGGAGGAACTGACTGCTGATTCTTCCGAGGAGCTCGTCTTGGCCTTCGGCTTGGACCTCGGCTCCTGGCTTCTGGCATAGATGGTTCAGCTTCCTTCTGGGAATCTTCAGTCTTCATCTCAGCTGCCTCCCGGGACTCTTCAATCTTGGTGGTAAACTATTCAGCCTTCCGTTGCTGATTCTTTCATGTTCTGTCACAGACCCATTGGCCTACTAATGCAGACTTGCACAGGACTGCAGTAAGCTTCAACCCGTAGGCTGGACCCTTCAGCCTCCAGCGTGCAGGCACCCAGTGCACCCTCCCTCATCCAACTTTGGAGCTGACCACTGTAATCCAATCTTGTAATTTCTTATTTATTTGTAATATCTTGTGCTGTATCTGTTGCTCTAGTAAACCCTAACTGATGCACACTTTTAAAAGGAAAATGAACAAGTTGTCAGAACTGTTACCATAAAGACATTCTTAGGATTGAACAATAACCTCATTTAGGGACTTACTTCTGTATGTATTCACTGTTTAATAAGCAAGTAAAAGGGATTAATTTCCATTTTTATAGAATGTAAAAGGTAATGAAAGCCGCATACTACCTAATATTTTCTAAAAATAAAGCAAAAATTAGAGATGAGCAATATAGCTCAGTGGTACAGTACTTGCTTAGCATGTGCAAGGCCCTAGATTCAATTTTCAGAAAGAAAGAAAAGATCAGAAATTAAATGGTATTCAACTAAATTAGAGACATTCTCTACTGTTAGTGGTTAAAACTCAGTGACTTCTGACCCATATTTCTCACGAAATCTGCACCAGCCATCACATTAAGAATAACTCAGAAATACAGGTATTTAAAAGGCTACCACAAGATCTGAAAAATAAACAATATTTGGTGTAGTACTGCATCACAGAAATCCCAGAATTTAGGAAGGCTGAAACATGAGGACTGCAAATTTAAGTGCCGCTGGAAAACCTAGTAAGATCCATCTTAAAATAAACAATAATAATAATAAGACTGGCGGGGCTGGGGATTTGGCTCAGCGGCATAAGCGTCTGCCTTGCAAGCAGACAGTCGTGAGTTCGATCCCTGGTACCGATAAAAAATAATAATAATAAGACTGGCAATATAGTTTAGTGGCAGAGTACCCTAGAATTTGATCCCTAGTTAAAAAAAAAAAAAAGTATAATCAGAAGTGTTACTAAATACATAAAAAATTTAAAAGCTCAGACTGCCCAAATTGAATTTGGGCCTCTTTGAAAGACCCATTTCAAAAATGGGAATACAGTTCTCTGAAACTAAAAGAGTAAATAAGGTGTAAAATGTACTAAAGATACTGTGAGATGGAAAGTAATAGTTTAAAAGGAAAAAAAAAAAAAACAAACTAGGGTGGGAAAGAAGGGGAAAAGAAGGAAAGGAAAAGGAAGAAAATGCAAGTTTGCAAGTTAGCTATATTATTAGTGTGTCTTAGTTCACTGAAAAGGACGGTCCTTGCTAATACTGACTAGAGAATTTTTTATGTGATGAGTAACTAGTTTGAAGATGACAATATGCAATATATTAACTCTTGTTATTCTATTACTGTTATGAAATTGTTTTACTTTTTTAACATAAAAAAGCAGTGTTACTAAGACTAAAACAAATCATAGAAATTTAACTAAATTTGGCTATTAATGGTTATTTTATTTAAAATAATATCTGAAAAACTAAAACTGGTAACTTCCCACAGGGCTAAGACTATCTTTTTGACATGTAGTTTTCAATGGTAACTAGGAAGAAAAACTTTTCATACTCCAAAAGCAATTAGTCCTTCAGAGCAAGACAAAGAACTTTCTTTATCGGTGTTAGAATGTAGGTGCAATGGAGGCAATCAGGGAGCCTTTATTCACTGCTATGTTGCTAGCACTGAGGGCAGTAGCTGGCATCTACCAGGAGTCACAATACTGTATGAGAGTAAACAGCCTCTCCAACTGCTTTCCACATCCAAACTGAATACAACCACCTACACTGTTCCAAGAGATTTCAAACATTTCTCTTAATCTATGTGAAAATTGACTATTAAGGACCATTAAACTTAGGATACAGGAAAGTCAGGCTTCTTGAATAACAGCATTATTAGATTACTTTGGGCAAATTTCTAAATTCCTTTGTATTTAAGACTTTTTTCCAATTTATACCACAAATAATAAATGAAAAGAACCACAGGAAAACAAAGGATTTAAATCAGTGGCATAAGCGCCTGCCTGGCAAGCTCAAGGTTATAAATTCAATCCCCGGTACCAAAAAAGAAAGAAAAGAACCACAGGACAGAGATACAGAGAGGAAAGAGGAAGGGAAGATTAACACGTCCTTAGAACAATAACATGCAAAGACGGCCTTTTCAAACTTTCATTCATCACCTAAATTTTTAAAAATGGTTAACTTTAGCAAGATAACCATATTTCAACATTTTCATCAGCAGGATCCATAGTTAAAATAATACCCACAATGCAAACTTTAAAAAGCATAAAATTACCACTGCTCACACTACTTCTGATAAGTAATAATAGATAGAAAGTTTAGTAAAGAGTATGTCAATATTTCATTATCTATACAATCTTAGTCTTGAACAAAATCTAAAAGACATTTTCTATTAACTTGCTGATAAGATGAAAGAGAAATTAAGACTAGAGTAACACTGAATATTTTCTTCGGGTTATGTAAAGTTAGGTACTGTCAACACCAATTTTCTACCTATCATTATAATTTTGAAAATTCTTCAAATGCAGCAACTTATTACAATCAGAACACAACTGCACTAATAAAAGCAGATACCAGGGAATATTGATACATATCTATTTCTAAAAGTGTCATCCATGTTTGATCAAATTTACATAATTAGAATTAGAATTTATTTATTTCCTTTTATGAAGTCTTTTCCTTTGATTTTTAATATATTCTGATAATTACCTGATCTATGCTAGATAAAAGGCAAGCGGGAAACAGCAGATGCCTAACAGTCCTTCATTCATGGTTACTACATGATTCATGAACACTACTCATCTCTGATTAGCAGAGGGCCTCACAACTCTACCTCATGCAGAACAGCCAGGGATCTGAAAATCCTGTACAATTCCAAAGAAAAAATACCAGTAATTCCTTTCTTCCAGTTTCACCCCTCAAATAAATGAAAATTCACTGTTCAGTGAAGAAAGCCCCTTTGTCCATATAAATGGCTCAGTTGCTAGCAGAACTAAAGAGTCTTGAAGCTTAATGACAGTAGAAAATTTCACTATGAAATAATAAAGAGAAAACAATCCAGATCCCTTGCTTTGAGGTCCCAAATGAAAGAAAAAGTAATGCATAGGAATTTCTATATAGTCATTAACATAACTTTATATTACCTATAACTAGAGATCAACAAAATACATCTTTCTATTAAACTTTCATTAAATAACTGTACTAAATAAAATCATCAGTCTTTCAAATACAGCATAAAAAATAGCACGTCACCTCTATTTGTGCTGCCAAATTTGCTTTCTCTTTGTCTTTTCGCTCCATGCACCGTTTCACTTCCTCTAACTCAGATGTCATTGCATTGAAGTTCAGCTGCACCCTCAAATCTGACATCTGCTTCTCCAGATCCTGTTTTTCTTGCTCTACCCCTTAAAAGAGAAAATGTAAAACTCAATGGTCATTCTTTATTCACAGAAGAATGTACTTTTAAATGGTACAAAGCCCTGAAGTTTTAATATTCTAGCTATGTAATCCACCTACTGACACTCTCACGAGGATATTCCAGACTTTGCCAGTCTAGTGTCCTATGGTTGTCATATACATACACATTACTATGTCGTTCAATACTATTCTATTCTGGTACAAAAAAATTTGAACATTACTTAGTTTCTAGCACACTTTATTTTAAGAAAATGCTACAAGTTTTACTTTTCTTCACATCTCTACCACCAAACTTTTAAATAAAAATAATGTAAGAATTTTCAAATAAGCTACCTGAAGTTAGTGAAGCTGATACAATGAAATAAATCCTTTTTGCAACAGAAACAACAAATGATGCTCCTAAATATCTGAACATGTTGAACTACTAGCTTGCCACTTATAGCAGTTTTCAAATTCTTGCCAAGGGTATAGCTCAGAGGTACACACCCTGCTTGACAAACACGAAGTCATGAGTTCAATACCTTGATACCAAAAAAAAAAAATTGCGACTCTTACCTGGAATTGTAATACTGAAAAATACAAACTGACTTAGAACTTAATTCAAGAGGAAATATTTGCTTTATGATGCACAGGCTCTATAATATCATATTCTTCCAATGTAAAGATAGGTATAAAAACCCATCTTCAATGATCTTGCACTACAAGATCACAGACAAGATACATAAATAAAGTAATTCCTGTACTCTAAAATGTCAGCAACTGTAATACATACTATCAATTCGAAACTACCATTTTTCCAGCAGTCCTTTGCAGGAAAGAAAAGAATGAAGACAAAACTATCAATTCAAATTTATATATCATTCATAAAATACATTCAACTTCAGATTGCACCTTTTGGACTGGAAGACACACAGGGTTTTCAATAGCACAAGAGGAGTGCTGACAAACATAAGAGCACTACAGAGAAACAGTACCAAAGACTGTGATTAACTCTATGTTAGTGAAAAACTAAGGTAGAAAAATTAGGGACTAAATTACATTTTAAGAGGGAATACAAAAATTTCAACAAGCAAAAGGATGGGGCTGAGCTGTTATTTTAAGGAGAGGAAATACTACAGAGGTACAAAACTGGATTTAAAATTCAGGTAACCATACACAGTTGTTCTATGTGGCTAGGACATAATATGAGGGTGAGAAAAGAGGCAGCAGGAAGATTCCGCATTGCTAAGAACTTAGAGTTTACCCTGTAGACCTAGGTTAGCAAACATTTTCTCTAAGAGGTGAAATATTTTATCCATCTGCTGCCTGTCACAACTGTGCAATGCTGTCACTGTTTTGCAAAAGTAACCTAAGCAATGAGTAAATGATGGAAATAGCAATGTTTCAAAAAGTTTATTTACCAAAGCAAGTAATAGTCTGGATTTGGCCCACAGCCCCTACTTTACTCACTCCTGCTAGGTCTCCAACCTGAGAATGTACACATTTATTCTTGTATAAATGTAGCTATTCATTTTACAAATGTATGTAGCCACTCATTCTATTTATATTTTTTCATAAATATATGTGTGTGTATATAAAATGTCTCAATAGTAGGTACATGATATATTCTATGACATATACCACAAATATGATTATGAATATATAAAAATGAATACATATTAAATATGGAGTTACAAATGTATACATATATACACATACACATGTATGCCTTAGGAAAACTATATTTGGTACAGATTCATATATAATATTGTAGATATTTTATAACATACATAAACATAAAATAGTATGGATAAATATACACATATAAACACATACATCACATATGTTATGGCTTGGGTCTTGATATCCCCCTAAAGCCTCATGTGGTAATAGGTGGGGCTTTTCAGAGGTGGCTGGCTCTAGAGTGTGTCTCTGGAAATGATGATACTGCAATGCTAGGATCAAGGACATTAGGATTAAGGGTGTGAGTGCTACCCACTGTAAGTAAACTGAGTAGAAAAAGCTTTGTCCTCACTGCTTTGATACCTTCTACCCAACATGAACTATTTGTCCTGTGCAATACCACCTTGTCTTGGAGCCAACCGATTATAGACTGAAACCTCTATAAACTCTGAGCCAAACACGTCTTTCCTCCTTTAACTTTGGGTGTTGGGTATTTTATCTCAACAATGAGAAAAGTTACTAAGATAACATATTATTAAAAATTTAGCAAAACTGAAAACACCTTCATATGTAAAATAAAAAAGTATTATACATTCATTCCACAACCAAGATTATTTCATACAGCAGTTATGTGCTTAACTTTGGGGAAGAACAAACTTATGCCTGTGCTATGATTTCAGTGTCCACTCTACTGAAATTTGCCACTATAATAATATTAAGATGTGGTATTTTGGGGCTGGGGATTTAGCTCAGCGGCGTAAGCACCTGCTTTGCAAGCAGGCGGTCGTGAGTTCGATCCCCAGTACCGATAAAAATGAAAAAGACAAAAAAAACAAAAAAGATGTGGTATTTTGACAGGTGATTACGTCAGAGAGCTCCACCCTCATGGATTTAATAATACCATTATTATGGGTAGGTTGTTACCATGTAGGTTAGCACCATGTAGGTCAGTTACCATGGAAATGGCTGTTATAAAAATCTCCTGCTGGGTCTTCAGCATTCTGACTCTCTTACACCATACACAGGCGTGCATTCTCCCCCTCCCTTGACACTCCCTGTCCCTGTATTGCCATGCTCCAATTTCTCACTCTCTGGAGAAAATATAACAGGAATCAAATACTCATTACAATTACAATTAATGCTCATATTTTTAAAAATGTATTACAGTAAAAGACATACTGCCATTAATCTCCCTTAAAATATTCCCTCAAAATACTCACTCAAACACACTAGCCCATCATTCCTGCCCCTTTCTGAAGTCGTTCTGAAGTATTCATTTTGTACTTTTAGTTGTGCTATCCAAGCCATCTCAATGTCTGATTCAACTTGAACTCATGTTACTTTTCATAGTCATTTTTCCTTTGAGGAAGAGCAAGAAGTTGCACAGCACCAGATCCAATGAATAAGGTAGAACCCATGATGTTCTCATGAACTTCCACTGTACAGCACTTAGGAGCAGCAGTCACCACATCTTTTATCATACTTTGTAAAGACATTCACAAAACAGAATTTCCTAACTACTTCCGAAAATGACAGGAATGATGAGTAAGTATGTTCAAAGCAAGGACAGTATTTTGAAAGAATTGGTGACAAAGTGTCATTTACTGTGATAATTCTTGTTTATTTTAAATGTTTATGATATTCTCGATCTTCCCTGTAAGTAACGGAAAGGTTCCGTTTGACCAAGGAGCCCAATAGTAAACCTAACAAAACTAATTTTAGAAGCAAAAGTAGAACCCATTTTACAATGAGCAGTGGAACAAATAGTAAAAGTGTTCAACAGCCATGACTTCTTTGGTAAAACTGTGCTTAAATAATGCAAGTATTTTATAAAGATGAAAAACTCTAGAATTGTTCACTGTCACACTGATAAGAGAAACTTCAGCCAGACGCTCTAAAGTCTTGATAAGTAATTAAATTAGATTTGTCTATTCCTCAAAGATAATACTAGATTTTATAAGGTATCAAAACGTATAACAAATGTGCCACAGAATTTTTCCCAACAAATGAGAACTCCTAGTCCAGCTTTATGAAAACTGAATAATCTAACAGCTAAGAATTCTACTTTAAAAACGGACCATATTCTATGTCAAATGATACTTAAATTACATCACAAATATATTAGGATAGCTTTGAAAAACTTTGCCATTCTTTAAAGATTTTCCTGGCAATGTGGAAATTCTACTTAATGTAACATATTGTATTGTTGGGAAAATATTTAACTTTCCTTAATTTAATTGCCCATCAAATGCTTATAAGAATTTTTCCAGATTCCAGGTGTATCACTTAGTGATACAGCATTTATTCAGCACAAGCAAGGTCCCTAACGTTGGTCCTTAGCACCACAGTATAAAAAACAGAATTTCTCCAACATTTTGTTCATTTGAGTAGAAAACTTCACTAATGGAATAAATTTCAAGCTAAGCAATCTGAACTTGCCTATTGGAAACCACTTTAAAATTAAATATCATTATTTCTGACTAATGTGACTCATGACCAACTCTGAGATTTTGTCACAAAATCTCCAGATAACAAAAAAAAGACACAAACTTACTTTTAACTGTTTATACATAAAAAATTAGGGCAAGAATAAGTGCATTTACAGTGTAAGCACGAAGTACAAGCACATGCGCACACACACACACACACACACACACACACACACACACACACAGGAATAAGGAAATGGAAAGACTTCCACTATTACCTTTGCACACTCTTAGGGAAAGCTCAATGGGCTAAGCTGATCTGAAAACTGAAACAAGTTTACAAATCCACACAAAAGAATATACCCGTATGCTAAATCATAATCAATTTGTTGGAAAATGTTGTAGTAGATCAAGAAATAAATAGGATGACATGAGTGAAACATAAATGAATTCAGAGAATGAAAAACCCACACATTTACAAATCAGAATAATACCTCTCCTAAACCTCCAGTCTTCATGGTCCTCCTGATCTGACTGTTGCTTGGAAATCCGGGATACTTGATGTTTTAAGCCCTTCGAATCACCTTCTGCTTTTGTAAGTTGTGTACGCAGCTCTTCTACCTAAATACATTTAGTCAAAAGTCAAAGCACATAAGGTTTCAAAAGCAGGAGAGAAAAATAAAACTTATAAATTATTTCTCTAGAGGAAAACCTTTCATATTTTATGGGCTACTGCAGACACAAGCTGAAACACAGTCAATCTAATGTCCTTGCTACACAAACACAGTGGGACAGCCTCCTACACCTTTTGTTTGTTTGTTTGTTTGTTTATTGATACTTGCTGTACAGAGATTACAATCCTCTTGGCAAGTTTGTACATGTATATATATGTCTTTTTATATCCCCTTGTCCTCTCCTCCTTCTCCCTTTCTATCTGTAAAGGATCCACTGTCCTACTTTATATTGTCCACCTTTAATTTTGCTATTTATTTTGGAATTCTCATATAGTAGAAATCAATCGATATTTGTGTTTGTGTATCTTGTTTCACTTAACATTATGGTCTCAAGATGCATATACTTCCTACAAATGGCTCAAATGAATCCTTTGTGGCTAAGGAATACTCCATTGTGCATATATGTCACATTCTGTTCATCCACTCTTCTGCTGATGTGAATACAGGCTGCTTCCAAGATTTAGCTGTTAAGAGCCGTGCTGTTATAAACAGGGGGAATGGATGTATCACTGAAATATGATGCCTCTGGAAGATACCTAGCAGGGTTATCCTGCTCAATTTTTTATTCTTCTGTGGAAAAAGTATCTTTTCCTTCTCTGCATCAACAGGGACAGAGAATTTCATGTTCCTTTGTTTCATTTTGTGATGCTGGGCATCAGACCCAGAGCTCTGCATATGGTAAGCAAGAACTTGACCACTGAGGTACATCCTCAGGCCTACCAAATCTCTTTAAATCCCTCATTCTGCTCTCAGCCCACTCCACAGCTATCAGCCCAAATCACCCCAAGTACTACATATTTTTGGCTTTCTATTTTTCACTTATTTTCTTCCATGTAAACACAGTATATCAGTTGTTATACTCAAGAGAAAAGATCATGGGTTAGCATATACACTTCAAAATAAATAGGCAATAGATGCTGCTGAAAAAAGTACGAATTTTTAAAATCAGGACCTGTTTTATTCATCTTTATGTTTCTGGAAGAAAAATTAGCAAATTGGCTATGAGATAACAGGTAAACCTCAATGATTATAAGAAAGTTAGCTGTGGCAAAAGATTCAGTTAAAGTCACATTAACACCCTGAAGAAATGTCTTGCTTTAAAAACTAGCCTTAGAGATTATACACAAAAATTCCAAAACAAATCAGAATGCAATTGAATACAAATAAGTTTCAAAAGAAAAATCCTAAATTCTGCCAACACTGATTTTTTGTGATCCACTGGCAGCAGAACAAAGTTAATGAACATTTTTAAAGGTTTTTGTAGAACAGGTGCTGTGATGTATTTTCAGCAGCAATTGTCAAAATGCTACATTCCCTCTGAACATCTATAATGCCTGACATCTTTGCCTACAGAACATATTATGTGAGTGAGTTATGCAACATGCCATTTCAAAACAGAAGGCACAACTGCGCTTTGTATTAAACATAGACAAAGAGGCAGATAAAAACTCATATACCCTTATCCAATATATATAAGATTACTAAAGTTTTCAGATGCATCAAATTCATGTTACAGGCTCATGGACTTCAAAACATTATCTTTAAAAATTAAATCCTATCTTTGCTTAAAAGCGGCACATAGCATCTTGGAAATATGAATAAAAACAATGGTTCAAAGTAATTTGAATGTGCAAAGGGTTGTTTATGTATTTTAGCTCCTCCTTTATTCTCCATTGCCTCCTTGAATAAAAGTAAGCTTCTAGGAAATTTTTATTTTACACATTCATTTTACACTGCTCGTGCTAAGAGACCTAAGTAGTAAGCTAGAGCAGCAATCATCAAGATATATTGTCACAGTGGGAACTTGGACGGGTATTTTGCATGAGCTTTTCCTGAATCATCTTTTGCCTATGTGGGTTAATGTAAGTTTTGCAGGGAAAAAAATTTTCTATACCTAGTTTCCTTTTCATTTCACAAAGACAGTTAAGAAAGAATAAGACTCAATCCTGATTTCATGTAAAAGCAGATTGTCATATTTGCATAGACTTACCTGATGCAAAAGGATTTCTCTGTTGCCTTCCGACTGACTCAACAGCCTGCGAGATCGCTCCAATTCCTGTTCAAGCTAGAGTTTCAACAAAGGATTTTTTTTTAAAAAAAGTCCAGTTGAGCAGAAAATAATTTACAATGTGCCTCAATGGACAAAATATTGTTAATCAAGTATAACGCCGAAAGAAACCAGCAGAAAATTTTTCAGGAGATAGTTATAACAAATATGAAAGGTTGAATATCTCATCATAAACATATATAAATACTCCAATTAAGTAACTTTAATTCCATAACATGAAGTGTGCTAGTCCACACCTCTAAGAGGTATGAGATCTAGTCAGTTCCACCTGAATTGTGTTCTCATTTGAATCTCCTGAGCCTCAATTCATTTCTAAAATAAAGATTTTACATTAGTCTCCTGAGATTCCTTCCAGTGCTAAATCATTTCAAACTAAATTCTGAAGCAGTTTTTTCCTTTAAACAAGAACACATAGTAACAAATGAACTAAATTAGAATTAAAAACTGCAGACCTAATTCTTCAAAGTGTATTTAATCTAACTGATTATTTCTTATATTCTAATACTCATAAATATTCCTAAAACTTTAAAATTTTCAAATTTAGAATAAGACATTTAGACTAATAATAATATTGCCACTAATTAAACACCCATGGAAAATGTAGCTAGATGACTAAGTACCCTATAAAGTCTACTTTATTTCAAGTTGAAAAATGTAATAACAAGGGATACAAGTTTGTTCAAATTTTGAGCTTCCATATGCTATCTTTGTGCAAATTTTGTAAAAATGAAGTTGTTTCATCAAATTACAAAGCTGTATTAGCATGTTTTTACATGCTAAGGTTTTTAAGAGGCATCCTGAACAATTGTGTTTAAACAAATTGTTGTATACATATTAACCTTTAAAAACTGTACATATGATAGATATGACCACCAAGGGGAATGAAAGAGCATCACAGTGATAGAACAGCTCTGTTTCTTCATTGTGGCAATGTAAAATGAATCTACACAAGATAATGATGAACAGAACTACACACAGAGATACACACCATATATACACATTCAGGAAACAAGTACAAAATCTGCATAAATTGTGTGATTATACCAATGTCAATTTCCTGGTTTTGATAGTAAATGGCAATTATGTAAAATATTACCATTAAGGGAAGCAAGGTGAAAGGTACAGGCACCCTCTCTACGCCTTTTGTTTTTAAACATCCTATAAATCTATAAATGTTACAAAATGGCTTTAACTGAGTTAAATTTTCTTTTCCAAGAAACTGTTCATGTGGCACATAAAATAAATGTCATATTTTTTAAAAAATAAAATAAAGTTCAGCCTATAATGGGCATAATCCCCATGCAAAATCAGCAATCTCAACTCCCAAAAGCAGACGTGACAACCTGATATACCTGGCTCAACATCAAGGCAGCAGAAAAGCATTATGCAAATTTGCATAGTTGGTGAAACAAAATACATAAGGTTTTTTAAAAAAGACATGAAGTTGAGAACAACAGCACAACTTTACTCAATGGTTCCTTACCTTAGGCCCTCCCTTCAATCTATGCATCTACAAATCTGACTTCTTTCCTAACACTAACGTGCTAGACTGGTCTGCACTGTATGTATTTAAAGACATAAATATATGTCAAGGATTCTGAATTTATAATGAGCATAGAAGATAATTACAAAACTAAGTTGCTAATACCTGTCTTCCATAATGAAAATATATATCCAAAAATTATAATCTGCTAACAGTAAGCCTTTGCTAACACTACCAAAAAAATCAAGTCTTTTAACTGCAAAGAAAAGTTTAATTCACCCCTCAAAAAAGAGAATAGCCAGAGATAAGGTAGCAAAAAAAAGAGAATAGCCAGAGGTAAGGTAGCAAATAACCCGTGCATATGTCTAAGTAGTAAAGGGCAGGAGAGCCATCAAACCAAACCAACATCTAAGCTTCGCTGGAATTTAGTAAATAACCTCAGGCACATGTTTCAAGGCCCTTGAGATTCCTGGGAAGATGGGGAAGAATGAGCAATAAAGAGCAAGCTTCTCTCCTAGATTTGATGTCTAAACACTGGAATATAGCTACACGAGGAAGAGAAAAGTGAGGGAAATGGGTCTCCAGGACCCAGGATGACCTGAAGTGAGAATTGAGGCCCACAGAAAGAGTAAAGAAAAACACCAACAAAGTAGGAGGTGGCCAGTGGGGCTTTTGCTGAGCCCAGACCCATTATATGGGAGAAGAGGCTAAACATGCAGGCATATGATAACTACAGAGGACTCCACAGAGAAATGCATCAGTGGAAAACAGCAGTGGACTGTGGTGGATGGTGAGTTATTCAGACTCAAACATCCTGCAGGAGAAGGCAGCTGGCCGGGAGCCATCTTAGAGAAAGGACAAATGAATTTGGACCTGAGAGTAAATGCTAGGTCCATCTAGTGGGTCCCAGTGACGTGCAAGCCAGCAAGACTAAGCCACATGGCCAAAAACCAGCCTGAACTTCAGTGCAAGCAAAGACGCAGGTTCACCGGGATTATTCAGTACTCCACCTTAAATCTACTACTGGCACAGTGGATCAATCAACATGGACCTGGACTTTGTCTGCCCACAAGGTCTAACAATGACGGTGAGATATACCCTGAAGTGAATTGTTTTTCTTCTTTCTCTCTTTTCTTATTTTTTTGTTTTGTTTTTTCTTGACTGTTTGTTCTTATTTTTATGAGTGTGGTTTCAATTTTTTTGTAGTTGTTCTGTTATGAATTTTCATTTCTTCTTTCTCTCTTACTCTCCTGTCTTCTTCAGCAATTGCTCCAAGTTTACTTAATCTTCCACTCTCCTCCAGCCTTGTTTCTAATCTCTTCTTCTATTTCTCTACTTTTTCCCCTAATGCTGTTTAAATTTCCTCCATTCAGGATAAAATTGGCATATTGAGGGCTTATTTACTGCATATACTTTCGTGGATCATTTTAGATTATGTTCTATAACCACAAATCTAGTTTGTACAATTAAAGGTGACAAACTAACAGTTACCTCAGTTTCTCATTTTATAGGCTGTGTTTGATGCTACCGTTATTGCTGATGGTATGACTTTAGCCAAAGTGACACACTTGTTCTAACCAGTTGTTCTTCCTAGTACATCAAGACCTAGTTGCCTAAAGGTCATAAAAAATATTATAGGCCAATGCTAAGGAACCTGGGGCTGAGCCAAGTAGGCAGCAGCTTCCTATTCCCAAAAAACTGAAGAGGTGGGATCTTGCAATAGACTCAAAACTCAAAACCCTACACCTGGAAGACAACTCTGAGAAGAAGTCATTTCCTAAGAGTTCTAAATATTAACAATAAACCTACTGGCCATTATGTTACCTACTGGAAATATCAACTCAGGAATTAAACTAGAAAAAAAACAGAAAATGAAAAGGCATTAAAACAAAATGCGATCCCAGAAGTCCAGCTCATTAAAGGTAAACCCAGGAGAAAGTGAAATGGAACAACCCTAAAGCCACCCTCCTGGGTTCTCCGAAATGGTAACAGAAGTGACAAAGCAGAATGAACAAAGCTCTAGAAAAAATCAAGTCAGAAATAATTTCTTAGATAACTATAAGATGGTAACCATAATGAAAGAAATATTTAGTGATAATAGCAAATACAGACTAAAAAAAAAAAACAGAAGAGCTTAGGAAATTGATGGACATATTATATGCTCAACATAGGAAAGAAATGGAATCTATGAAACAAATTCAAACAGATATCCAGGAGATAACAAATTCCACTGACAGTATACACAGCAGAATGAGCCAATGTGAGGACAGAATCACAGATATAGAACACACGATTGCAGTTAGTGATCATGAAAATATAAATTTCTTTAAAATGCCAAAGGACCATTAAAAATCAATCCAGCACCTTGACTGAAGTCAATGAAAAAGCAGGAGAAAGCAGAAATGACATTAAAAAAAAACATCACTGCAGAAAACCTCTCCAGCAGGAAAAAAAATTTGACATACAGATAAATGAGGCATATAGATCTAGTCATGATCAAATATATATGGAGAGAGTAAGGAAATTTAAAGTCAATATTCAACAAATCCAACACAAGAAGAGAATAATAAAAGCTGTTAGAGAAAATAAACAAATCACCTGTAAAGGAAGGGCCACCAAAATCACAGAAAACTTATCAACATAAACTCTCAAGTCAAAGGAGAACAGGTAGTAAAGTATTTCAAGCAGTAAAAGAAAGTACCTGTAATCCAGATCGATGTACTCTGCAAAACTATTTTTCAAAAATGATGGATTCTTATTCCATGAATAAGAAAACCTAAGGAAATTTATGAACACCAAACCAACACTCCAAAATGTTTTGAAACACATCATAGAAAGAGATAACAAAGACTACTACTCCATAAATTCCAACAGAATGAATCTACTACTCAAGGGAAGTAATTAAATAAAGGGAGAAAAAAAGGGGAGGAGCCAATAACAGGAAAATAACGACAAAGATAAGTCAATATATATCAGTTATAACCATCAATGTGAATGGTCTCAATTCACCAATCACACAAAGACACAGACTGGTAGAATGGATTGAGAAGCAAGATCCAACAAATGCACCTAAGAAACACATTTAATTCAAAAAGAAATTCATAGACTGAAAATCAAAGAATGGAAAACAATATTCCATATGACAGGAACCCAGAAAAAAGCAACTGTAGCTCATTTATTTGCAGACAAAGTGAAATTCAAGCCAAGAGTGATCAAAAAAAGAAGGTTACCAAATCCTCATACAATGAACAAACAATTCAAGAGGAAAAAAATGACAATCATAAATATATGTGTGCCAAATCCCAGTACACACAACTATAAAAAAACAAATACTAATGAACATGAAAAATCGAATAAGCACTAATACAGTTGTATTGGGAGATCTCAATATCCCACTATTACAAATAGACAGATCAGATAGACAAAAAAAGCAACAATGAAATATAAGAATCAAACCAAACTTTTGAACCAATGGGCTTAGTAGATCTCTAAAGAGAATTCCACCCCACAACATCAGAATATAGATTCTTCTCAGTTGCACATGGGACATTCTCCAAAACAGACCACGTGCTAGCACATAGAACATACTTAAATAAATGCAAAGGAATTGAAATTATACCATGTACATTATCAGGCCACAGAGCAATGAAATTTGAAATCAGTGGCAAGAGAAACTACAAGAACTTCATAAATATGTGAAAATTAAATGTCTCAAGTCCCACAGTAGATCTTACTGATCCCAAACCATAGTATCATTAGAAAGATAATATTCATTATCTTACTTGACTCTTCTCAGTTTCAGTTTGTCTTAGCTTATTTTTTATTGCTCCCTCATTCTCTTCTGCTTTAGCTTCTTGTTTCCTCAATACCTACAATGAAAGAAGTAGAAAACAATATATTATTCCAGAATACATATAAAACTTAAAGTCACTATTAGGATTTATTAAGAGAGGTGGAGAGTCTACTGTTAGGAGTTGCACAAAATGTATAAATGAATTACAATCTGTTCCTTCATTGAAGCTTTAAGAATTCTTCAATTTCTTGATCTTTCTAATCACTTTCTACTAAAATTTCACCCCCCCCCATCTTTGGTTATCCTGTTACACATTTAGATAGCCTACATAATTAATAGTTGCCTTGAAAATGAACAAAACTTATGAACAATGAAAATGAACAGAACTTGAAAATGAACAAAGCTTACTAAAATAATATTATTTACATACATAATCTGCTGAACTATTTAGACATAACACCAAAACCTAGCCAGCTAGTATTTCAAATTCTAAAACAGTAATGACCACACAATAGAAAAAAGATTTTTGTATCAGCAATACATATAAAGCATTTTCTCCACAACACCGAAGCAGCTATTCAAACTATACTTAATATGTAGAAAAGAAACCATTCATTTCTATAGTTTCCCCTCTTTAATGAAATGCAAAAGAAGAATTTTTAAGAAAACGTGTATTTCTAAAATTAACCACAAAATTTTATGTTTTGGTTTGTTTCTATGCTAAAACTGAACTAAATTTAAGCAAACACTTGTAGAGTTGTTTTTTATAATATGTAAAAGATATTCTATTTTCAAAAAACTTTTTTGACAAATTTAGTACTCTGACATAGTTATGTGTATGTGTAAAGACCACACAAATTGTGAAAAGCTAAACTGTCTGAAATCTTTTCCAACAAGATAAATGAAAAAGAAATTTTTAAAGAAACAGCAAAATTTTCAAAAAACTTTTTTTGACAAATTTAGTACTTAGACATAGTTGTGGGTTTGTGTAAAAGCTACACAAACTGTAAAAACCTAAATTGCCTGAAATCTTTTCCAACAAGATCTATAGAAATTTTTAAAGAAACAGTAAAATACTTTAAAATATGCTTCAATAAGTATACCAATCATAATCTATTTCATTAAGTTATACATATATTCTAATACTTCCTATATCTATTTACAACATAAAAATTTAAGTTGAGATTTAGATTTAACTATCCAAAGGGCTATTAATATGTACATATATTAGAGATGAGCTCACTCTACCATGATGCTTAGTCTCATTAGTAAAATAGCAATTAAATAGGAAGAAAAGAATTTTAAAATACAAAATAATCTTGACCTCATTATAATACACTTACAGTTTTTAGCATGTACAGCCATTAATATGTTTAAACACATTAAATGCATGATATGTATTAAGTGCATACATGTAATCCCTGTGATAACTGCATGAGTTATTATTGAGAGGAATAGTGAGACATAAGAAGTTAAATAATTTGCTCAAATTATTCATTTAATGATGAAGACAAGGTTACAGATTACAGTAGATTTTTGGACCTGCCTCTTAGCCACTGAATAACACTGGCTTTGCACATTACAAGTATAATACCAACTTTACAGGGTGTAGTCAAAGATAACTAGTTCAATACTTGTAAAGCACATAAGTTAATACCTGGCTTACAACAAATATGTGATAAAAGTCAACATTTACAATAATCAAAATCATAATTCCTTTTAGGTACTTATCAAATGATCCTGATTCTATGGTAAGTGGAATTTTAACAATATTTGCATACATATAGTTTAATCAATTTCAGCTGTTAGAATGTTTATACATTTTCTCTAACCAAAATCCTACATATTTAAAAAGTATTGCTGACATCTTTATTATTTCTATAATTCTTTGCTCTCTTGCCTACCCAGGGTAGTGTATGTGTGTGTGTGTGTGTGTGTGTGTGTGTGTGTGTGCGCATGTATATGTGTGTATATGCACGCGCTCAAGTCTGTGTCAAAGAGAAACGTGAAAAAAAAGGAAGTTATTGCTACACTGCTTCATCAACCCATTCTATAAAATTTAGAACTTCTGTTTTCACAACATCATTATTCCAACCTGTCTCATATTTTTTAAGTTGACTTTAAACAGTATCTTTCTTTTTGAAACTTTCTCATTGGACTAAAAGTCACCTGGGGCTTTTCCACAAAGGGCAGGTTAGGAGGAAGACTTCTTCAGGCAACTGACAAGTTTGATTAAACTGTAAATTGTCAACCTATACTTCTAGATTCAAACTTCTTAGCAGAAGTCACCGCAGATAAGCGAGTATGCAGTGAATCCTCATCCAAACCAAGAGAAGTCCCTTGAGACCACAACATGAAGACAGTAAGCACCTCAAAATAAGCAAGGATTGTCCCACACACCAGAGCCATTCCCTTCCAAAGGTGAATACAAAGTCTATCTCAGAAGACTGTAGGACACGGGTTTGATAGATGCTCAGATGAAATGACCTGCCCACTGTGATTTGTGGTTTTATTCATGCCTCAGTTTGTCAGCTCCTCTTCCTTCTACTTACTCTTGAGATTAATTTATTTTTGAATTTAAACCCCCAAAACTCTTTGGTAAAGAAATTTTTCTATTTAATAAACAGAAATGAATTCACCTGTGTTCTTTCTGATTTCCAAGTATTCATCCCGTGTTCTTGCTTAGACAGAACCCATATAGTCAAAATGGCTTTACCAAAACTATTAAATAAATTTCATGTAATCCCAATCACAATAGCAATACTATTCCTCACAGAACTACAGAAAACAAACCTAAAATTCATAGGGAACCAGGAGAAACCGAGAGCAGCAAAAGCAACTATGGACAACAAGGGCAATGCAGCAAGTATCACAACCCAGAACTTAAAATTATAATATACTACAAAGCTACAGTGATAAAAACAGCACAGTATTGGGGGGGGGGGACACGAGGTTTATAGATCAATGGAAAAACAAGATGCAGAAACAACCATAGCATTCTCAGCTATCTTACTGACAAAAGGGCAAAATCCTTTCACTGGAGGAAAGAGCCTTTTTAACAGTGCTGGAAGTGGCTATCCGCATGCCAAAGACTGAAACTACACCCATAATCTCACACCATACACTAAACTAAAACCAAAATAGATCAAAAACCTAAGATCAAAACAGAAATAATCTCCTGGAAGACCAAAAAGGTAAAACTCTTGGAGACAAAAGTGTAAGCAAAGACTTTCTGAACAGATCATGGCTGCACAAGGAATAATACCAAGAATCAACAAATGGAATCACATCAATACAAAAAGCTTCTGGACAATAAAGGAAAAACCAACAGAGTAGAGAGACAATCTACAGAATGGGAAACAACTTATGCAAGCTACTCCTCAGACAAAGGACTAATATGTACAGTATATGAAGAACTCAAAACAATGGATAGTCCCAAATTTAAAGACTCTATTAAAATAAGGTCACCTGAAATTAAAAGACATTTCTCAGATAAAGAAGAAAAAGTGACCAATAAATACATGAATAAATGTTTACAATTGCAGGCCATTCAAGATATACAAATCGAAATACTGAGACTCCATCTTGTTCCAGAAAGAATGGCTGCATCAATAAATAAATAATAACAAATTCTCAAAAGCCTCCAGAGGAAAAAGACCCTTCTTCATTATTTCTGGGATTATATACTGGTACAGTCACTATGGAAGTCAGTGTGGAAATCCCTCAAAAACTAAACATATACACTTTATTTCAGAAAATATGGTATTTAGTATTTTCTATATATACTGAAATCATGAACATTTCTTTTACTAAGTCAATTATTTTGTAAGGATTTTATAATCAAAATTGGTAAATAGCACTCTGGAAATCTTAATTCAGTATTCTTAACATATCCAAGGCTTTTGTAAGCTAGTTTTATATACAACTGTGCATATTTTTTTTACATACAATTCAGAATCTTTTTTTTTTAATTTTATTTACAAGGAAAAGGAGAAAAAACAAAACAAAACAAAGCAGTGTAAGGATACAAGTAATACAGAACTAGAAAAAAAAAAAACAGTAAGAAATCACCAGTTAATAGATTACATATTATCATCTTAGAGATAGTTGCTCAAGTCACAGTATCAAAGCATACAAAGTGGACATTCAAACAGTGAGACTGCAAACAGTTGTGTTCAATGATCCAACCAAAAACATTAATATGGTCAGCTATTTAACACCCCTAAACACACTTGCTGTTGTATCTTTTAGAGCACTTTTTTTCCTTCTCTTTTTTACAACAAAATTTACACATTTTGGGTTTTATTACTCCTTAGTTCTTATTACTTTGGGGGGGGGGGGAATAAAGTCAAATATGGCAAAACAAAGCTGTCACTCAAAACCAAGGATAGACATAGCACATGATGTAAAAACAGTACAAGGTTATCAACAATGGTTACCACAATGTCTCTTGTTTCCTTAAAAAGAATTGTCTATCTCATTAGGTATTATAAAGTTGAACAAAACAGTAGAGAACAAGACCAATAAAACTTAAGCATTGTAAACATTACAGGACTTCCAAAGGAGACAATAGTCAAACCAGAATGGGCATCTTAGTGAATCTTATTGCCTTCAAAGTAGTTGCCTATACCCTCAAACTTGATACTATCATAAAGAATGGAACAGAGTCTAATCAGTGAAAACAAGATAGTGGGAGTATTACAGGACTTCAAAACAAGTTAATAGGAAATCAAAAAAAGTTACTGTAATAGCCTGCTAATTTTTTTAATTTTCCCCTTAATTAAAAAAATCCATAAAAAATAACTAAATAATTTTTTTAATGAATAAGGGAGAAATTGAGATAAAAGAGGGCATAACAATATAACAATACAGGTCAAAGCATGACTGTTTCAGCAACCTAGTGCTTCACCACCAAATAACCCGACTTAATAGTAATTACCATAGTGTCTGTCTTTTTCCTTGAAATATTTGAATAAAACTTCATATACTATAGCTTCAAATATTTCCATATCAAGAAGCCCAGAATAAAGCCTTTCCAATTAATAAGTGAAAACTTTATAAGGCTTCAAGGCCACA